AGCAGAAATGGGACCAATCAGAGTTGACGTGGGTTGAAAAAGTAACGGGCAGATGGACGTCTTGAATCTCGGGTAGGTTGATGGAGTTTAGGACAGTAGGAGATGGAGGGATCATCTACCGCTGAGCCGAGTTTCAACATCCGTCCATGTTGCCTTCATGTTAGAATCCTTCAGGAAGTGGTGGAACTGATCAGGAGCAGGAAGTCGTAAAAACTAAAACAACATTTATGGCATTATGGAAGGATGCATGACTTTTTTGTGTATTGGATGTGATGTGGTCTTATGTGTGACCCCAGACTCCTGCTCAGTGGCCCGGTAGAACCAGTGAGCTGTAGGAGTGTTTGTGTTGTTGTTGTGGCTGCTGCTCTGCTGGTCGGCTCTTCCAGTCGTGGGTTCGACCTCGTAGCTCCACATAGATCAGCCAGTCTGGGTCTGGACCCCCACCAGAGGAGGACCGGTGAGACCTCGTCCTCCTCTCCGGCCCGACCCAGTTTCAGCATCATCAGTTTAAGTCTGAGCGTTCAGATCTTCCGGGTCTGAGCCGCCGTGACTGAAAAACCTGCTGAGGGGTGTTTCCCCGATGATGGCTCCAACAAACCCACAGAAAAACTCTTCTGGGGTCTTTTTGTGACCGTCTGCTGGACGATGTTTGGATGTAACCTGAGTTCTGGTTTCTGGTTCTGTCAGGGGGCAGCAAGAAGGACCGGCAGGGCTGTGAGGTTCTGACCACGATGCTCCAGGCGCTACAGAACATCGTCGCCTCAGAAGCTCTGCCTGCAGACAGAGTCCTGGTGAGGAACCACGAGACACGACGAGAAACTCACGGCGTTCCAGCAGCAAACGTTTAAGAAACATCAGTAGAACGTAGAAAATAAACCAAAAATATACTCGGATGCTAGTTCAGACTCCTCTGGATGGAATAAACAAGATAAAAACAGATAAACCTGCACGTCGGATGTTCTGCTTCAGTGTTTTTCTGTGTTTCAGTGCATTTAGTCAAAGGAAACACAACACTAGAAACCTGCACAGCATTTTAGCTTTAAACGTTTATTTATGGTGGCTTTTTTTAACTTTTTTAGTCCTGAAAAAAAACATGACATAAAATAAGAAATGCAGTAAATAAAAAATAGAAAAGCAGTAAGATAGAAGTAATGTAGAATAAAGCTGGAGCAGAGGAGCGTGACGTAATGCTGAGTTAATAAATATCACATTATAATAAAACATTCACCTGAAAAATGAGATAAAAGATCAAATCCAATGTTTGTATTACGTTACAGAGACGTTCTGCCTGTAATTAAAATACTGCAGCTGTTACGCATGATGATATTTCTTTCTTTAATCTGTTTCGAGCAGCTTCAGACGAGCACCTGGCTGCTTTCTTTAACGTCTGTTTGTTGTCTTTAGTTTTCAGTGTTTATAATCTGTTTTCTGTCTGACTGTGATCTCGTGTTCCAGCTTCTGTTCGAGGCCACGGTCAAAGGGATCCCTCAGAGAGTCCTCGGTTCTGCTTCGTACCAAGTGGGGAAGATGGACGTCCTGAATGTGAGTTTGGTTTAATGAGCAGTTAATGATGTGAACGCTCGTCGATGAGCCGCTAACGTGTTGGTTTGTGCAGGGAACTCCGGCTCTGTTCCTCATCCAGCTGCTCTACAGCAGCAGCATGCTGGCGGCCTACGTGGAGGACGACAGGTGGGTCCAGTCCGGTTCTGTTGTTGACACCAACTTCTATAGATTATTTTTTTAATGTATTTCTATTATTCTTGTTGTTGTTTTTTTTGTTCTATTTTTACTTGAGCCTGTGATGCTTGTTTTTGGTATTTTACTGTCTGGACTCCAGGAGGACCAGCTGACGTCTTGGGCATCCTTTTAAATAAACAAACAAAACAAAAACGGGAGGTCCGACTCTCAGCCGCTACTAGTTTTAGACCAGTGACGGCTTTTAGATGCAACACTGGCTGAGTTTGAGGTTTATTTACCTTCAGTTTGACCTTCCTGGTCTGACTGATTTTAAATCGAGATTATTGAATATGTGACGAGTTCACAGCTCGATCTGAACCGACCCGATAATATCACACATTTCATGTTTAGGAGCTAAAATCAGGACATTCTGAGGCTGCAGACATTAAAAGAATGAAGGTGTGAGATTAATATTAAGCTCTTATGTGTATATTATTATATAGTTCTAAGCTCTTATGTAGTTCATCAGTTATATGTATGTCATTCATCTAAAACATAATAATATAACAAAATACTGTAAAAAAAAAATTACCTCTAAATTCATCTCTAGGAGCATTTTAGCCACAATATTCATACTAGTCAGGTTAAGTTCCTGCTTTTGTTTTTATCTCACTGCACAGAATCAGAAACAGTTTCAGAAATTAAAAGTAGAAGAAGAAAAATAAGATGAATAAAAGCAGAAAAATCTCTGCATAAAATATAAAAATGTACTTTGTATTAGGAAAATAAAAATAGAAGTACACAGAGTATTAGGTAACAACGGTTAAAGGTTTCTTTCTTCTGTTTCCCCATGAGGTGGCGCTCTGCTCCGTCTGTCCCATTATCGTGTTTGATACGCCTTTATTTTGAAATATTGTTTGTTTGTTTTCCTGCATCCTGCCGACATTTTTAAGCATTTCCATTATTATTAGATCTGCTCTTTAAGTTAAACGATGTTAAAGTTCTTCCCTTTGGCACCAACGGCTGTTAAAGTGGTGTTTAAAGCTGCAGCGCCCTCCGGTGGCACAGCTGTGAACTGGTTTAGTTTTTAAAGCGAACCTGTAACATAAGACCAACTGGATGTGTGGAACCGTCCCTGCAGGTTTGCTCGGTGCCTCCAGACGCTGGTCGGCTGCGGCCTGTCGGGTCCGACCTCCCCGCTGGCGTTCTCGGAGGCGGTTCTGGGCGCCATCGGTCGCAGCGCCGCCTCGCTGCAGAACAAGGAGCAGCTGTTCCAGATGTGGAGCGTCGTGGTCGGGCCGCTCACCGACACCATCACGCAGGTAGGAAGTTATTCACTGGAGGCCTTTCAAAATAAAAGACGGAGGAGGACTTGAACAGTTTCCTTGTAGCAGAAGACTGAAATCTAGTGTTGGACGGATCGTTGTTTTCGTCAGTTAATTCTGGATTTTGAGCCTTCTCAGTTTTCTACAGATTATCAGAGCTGATATTTGGTTATTTTTCTGTTTTATTAACCGATTATTGATAAGTGAAATGGATCTGATTCAACAAACCTAGAAACTGCTTTCACAGCGGCTAACGCTAACAGCTAGCGGCCAAGTTAGCAGGAAATGATTGGATCTAAAGCTTTAAGATGTGAACATGAGTTAGAAATAAAAGTGTCAGAACAGAGAAGAACGGGCAGAATGCACGAGACAAACTGATCAATCGATTGATTACTTCCTGTGCTGCCATCGCTCCTGTTTCCAGCCTACATAATAAATAGAAAACTAAATACAAAATGTTAAAGTCTCTGTGTGCTGGTTGTCCGTCTTTCTCGATGACCAGTATCGGTCTTAAAAACCCTCCTCGGTCGATCTCTGCTCACATCTGTCGTTTCCCGTCTTTCTTCAGTCCAATGAAGTGAACCAAGGCGACGCTCTGGAGCACAACTTCAGCGCCATGCACTCGGCCCTGATGCTGCCCATCACACACCTCCTGCAGGGGGCGCCGCTGCAGCAGGTCTGTCCGTCTCCCTTTGTATTTATGTTTTTAACCACTGCTGTGCTCACGGCTCTGCTCCACCACACCGGGTCTGTGGTGGTTTCTGCAGAACGTTTTAAGTGTTTAGTCCAGATGTTGTCTTCTGTCTGGAACGTCCAGCAGAGGCCACGACGTTCCCCCTCAAACCAAAGCCACTAACCCGATTCTGCTCCCCGTCTTGTGCTCAGGCGGCCCAGAAGTCGATGCTGTCGCTGTGGTCGAAGCTCTACAAGGTGTTCGCTCGCTGCTCCGCTCTGGTGGTCACGGCCGAGGAGAACATCTGCTGCGAGGAGCTCTGTGCCAAGATGGCGGCCGTGGTGGACAGAGAGGCTCTGACGGTGAGGAACGGGAGGCTTTAGAGAC